GCACAACAAGGAACTCTTAAACGTAATGCAATAGTTGCTGAATTAAATCAAACAATAACATTGAGTTTAATGAAAAAAATTGATACAAATGGATTAGGTGCAGTCATTGAATATATGAAAGATGTTCAACTAGAGAATGATTTTCTAAAAGAACTTATAGAAGCATTAATAAATATCAATCATTATATTCAAACTCAATCATCGATTTCACTGGAACAAATTCAAAATCAATTGGGTTTTTTTAAAAAATTGTCTATCATTGATTAGAATCTTTATCTTTTATATAGGTATGGCATACTTTATCGAAACACGTAATCTTAGCAAAGTTGATATTCATGAACTATCAAAAGCAGCTGATCTATATTCTATTGTTCATATAAATCTTGGTGAAGAAGCAAATATTGATGAATATTCGACATTTCTCGAATATTTGAAAGCTCCATTTATACGTATATGTATTCAACGTATTTTAAATTTAATTAAACAAGATAATACTATTAATTTGGATAAAGTATCAAATAAATTTTATAATGAACGTATTATTGATTTACTTAATGAATTAATTTATGGATCGGATGAATTTAATCGAAATTTATTTTTTCATCAAATTAAAAAATATTTAAAGAAAAATAAAGAATTACCAGATAAACTCTATCGACAAATGTTAAAAGAAAAATTCATTCATATTGATGCTAAAATTAAAATAGATACAGATAAAAAGAAAATTTCAACAATTATCAATGAAATAAATCAAATTTTAATCAATGTAGAAGATCGAATAAAACAAGAACAATTAGTAGACTTATTTGATAGAATAGATATGTAAGTACTATAGTCGCAAAGGTTAACCGCAACGACTAATCGGTCTTCGTTTAGAGGACATCAACATAGATTTTTTTTTTTCTTCAAACGAAGATTCATATCTCAAGATTAAAGCTGACTGAAGTACTCTATATGTGATATAATATAAACATGCGAGTCTTTATTGATCAATAAGAAAACGGAGGCTGGCATATTTAAAACAGTAGAAAACCAGAAAAAGTGTCGAAAAACTTTTTTCTGGCCCTAGAAGGACAAATCAATGTTTTATTCGTAAATCTTGTGTATTATAACCTATCGACTTTACTTTGCTGCTTGCAATCAGAGGGCTATCTAACTCTATTGATACTCAAAAGAACAGACAAGTTGTTTGAAGTTTATGTAGATTTTACTCGATAGCGGAGCTTCTCTTATATAATGTAAATGAAACAATTATAAAAATTTTATAATCTGTTTTTATCGATAGCATTCTTTCTGAACGCATCAAGCATTGGTATAAGACTAAATCAAATATCCAAAAATTGCAATTTTCTGCATCTAACATTCAGAAAAACATGATCAATGCGAAAAATAATATCAAAACAAAGACAAATGTCTTTCATTCAAAAACTAAATCTATTATAGTCAGTCCAACTCCTTCAACACATCGTACTACTGATAAATCAATCAGTTCACTAAGAAAAACTTTAAAAGAACGAATAACACAAGATATCAAAGATCAGTTGCCAACTACCACGGCTGTGTCTTCCGTGAAGTATGCTAGTGAACAAAAAAGATCTTTGCTAAAATCTGAATCAAAGTTTCAATCAATAGTACATGTAACAAAGAAGCATGTCAAAACTCCTGATAATACAAAAAAAAACAGTAATGTGTCTATTGATAAAGATGGAAAGGAAAAATTGATATCCAATTCTGCCATTCCATTGGCATCGAAATCAGAAGAACAACAAGAAAGTACTTTAGACATTGCTCATGATCAATCATTCTTATCATCCGCAACACCAATAACGACAGATACAATTAATATCGCTGATGTTTCCGAACCTCAAACTGAAAGTGAGCGTTTCAATTATTAAAATTTAGCATAACTAATTATAGTTGACTATCTTCTTATCTATAGGTGATCTGGTTGAGTCAAGACAATTATCACAAAGCACGAAAGTAGTCTTCTAGTTAATTTTTCTAGCGAGAAAAATTTGCCAATTGATTTATTTCTTTTGTGTTGGAACTACATAAATCATGTAAATTCGAATAATTTATGAATATCGTAAAAAAGAATTTGGGTTCTTAGCGTATTACAGCGAAAATATGACATTTTAACACTAGTTTTTAAGTTGATGCCATGATCTCCTTCAGGAGCATGAGGAAAACTCATTTTCGAGTTTCGATTTGAAACTTTGCATCGAAACACGTTTTACCACCTAGAAGAAATTACTGTGAAAGTTTCAGTTCGTTTCATTGTTCCTATCCTAAGATAGGACTATGATTAATAGTGTGTCTCTTACATCACTCGGATATGCTGATAGATCCGATATTTATATGTCAGAACAGCAGCAAATCAAAATATTTGAAGTTTTCACTATAAACTATTCTCGTTAAGGTCTATCATTGTATCAAATTGCAAGTCAAAATATGAAAATACAGCAAAAATTCGATATTTCCACAACAATAAGCTAAGGATTGGAACACTTTTAAAAGTATCCATCGCTTATGAGAGCCTACATGATGCATATTGTTTCGACTCTAAAAGTAATTAACCAGTTGGCAGACTTCTTTCGTGAGCAAAACAGATTAGAATAAATTCCAGATTAAATTGATTGTGTAGGAAACAATCGAACACATCAATTCTCTTCTATCCAAACAAGAAAAAAGTCAAGAAAAAGACACTCAAAAGTTTTCTGATCATCAAAAATTAAATACAATAAATACGACTATTGAGTTTGAATCATCACAGAATACATCAACAAGTGATACAATTTTAAACAACATGCAAACAATATCATCTATTGACAATGAACAAAATACAAATGTACAATTTGATATGGAAACCAAAGCTAAAGAAATATCGAATGTATTACAACAAACAAATGAATTACATGAAGAAAATTTTGAAAAAAATGTCACATCATTTGTTCTAAATAGTAGTGAAAAATTTCAAGGTGATCTTGAAATCATTCGACCTGAAAGTATTTCTAGTGGTAAATTCAATGATTTGAATTCAATACTAATATTCATCATTGTTTATATAGGTAAAATGAATGAAAATCAAACTCTCAATTTTGAATTAGATTGGAATGTGGCTCTTCTTTTCTATCATCCATCTATAGCACATGATTTAAAACAAGAAACAAATACAATTTTAATGGGTAAAATAGCTGAATTTGTAAATGATTCACAATATGTAAAAACAAAAGCACAACGATTATTTGCTAAAACAATATCTCCAAACATTGTTCGTCAACCAATGGAAGAAGATACAATTGGTAGGAGCTCATCACCATCAAATCTTACAACTAGTAATGCAGAAACTATTTCTGTAAATACAATTTTATTCTCGAAAATTTCATTTAAAAAGACAAGGTCTTCTCAAAATAGAATTATTTTTAGTTTTCATTTATAATATAGGCTGCTACTGAAACTAGAAAATTGTCAGCTCCATCAAATGAACGATCTAATAATATCAAATCATCTGCTAAAACTTTTCATCGTAATCTTCCTAAATCAATAAAAAAAATTGATGATATTTATATAAATTCTTTAACAAATGCTTTACGTAACTTATTTGCACGTTCTGAATATCATAGCACAAAATTACAAAAGATTCATGAAGAACTTATTACATCAGGTCATATATCACCATTAAATGAATTTTATCGTTCATCAAATGAAGCCTTACGTGTAACAGTTGATCATTGTAATACTTATGCTGATTTAATTAAATGGACTTTATCATTATTACAAACAAATAATAAACCAAATTTAATTAATTTTGGTCATGATCTTTATTTGATTGCAATTGATTTAGAATTTACATTAATTCAAAGTATTGATAATACACGATGTGCAATTGATATACAAGAAAATCTCAAACATGAATTACAAACAATTACCGAAATTGATTTACGAGGTACATAAATAAGTTTTTTTTTTTATAAGTATTCCTTTTATGTGTATATATAAATATATTTAAAGAAATTAATTCTTATTTAAATGCTTCTCAAATGGATAAACTAGTTCATTTATCAAAAAAACTTAATGTTATTTCAAAAGATCGTATGATGTCAGATCTTAATGTATTACTTCTTCATCTTATTCAAGTTTGTCATACATTCGAACTTAAATATCGTCCAATGCAAACACATATTCGTGTATGTCAATTTTCATTGATCAAAACCAGATCTTTTTCATATATACATGTTAACGTCTAATCGAAAATTGATCTCAAAATTTTAAACGAATTGAAAATTTAATATGATTAATCTCCTATTGATAAACATCTTGTATGAAAGCAAAAGTTCACTAGTATGATACCTAAAATTTTATTTTCAACAAAATACAATATCTAACCCAAAAGCAAATAGAACGAAAAAAAATCAACGAAGCGTGTAGATGTAGTTATACACTTTTCACATCACTTCCACGCCCAAACCATTCATAAGTATTTTTTTGTTGTTTATGATTAGATGTTGGATTTTGTTGAAAATAAAATTTCATGTACCATGCTTTATATTGCCTATACTGTTATACTTTAGTCGATTTGAGATGAGCTTAAGTCAATGTGAGTGAATATTCATCCCATGTCGAATCTCAAATCGAATATAAACATATATATTATTTTCTATTTTATTTTTTATTTATAGGAAGTAGCCGAAAGATTTAAATCTCGAGCTGTTACTGATCTTGTACGTAAACTAGATGAAATTGAAAAACGTTTAGCAAAAAATTTTTCAATAACATTTTATGGTCTTAGTAAACGTATGAATCAATCTCGATTCATATTAATGAAATAAATATGACAAAATTATAAGCCGTTTTATTTGTTTTGTTTTTTCTTTTTTTAATAACAAAATTTTTTTTTGTTTGTGTTCTTGTTTAAAACAAATATTCGTTGGTATTTTTTTTTCTCTTTGTTCAATAAAAAAAAAAAAGAAAGAAAGAAGAAGATAGTTCATAAATGTGTTTTATTTTCGTAATCGATCCAATTTGTTAACATCATGTAATATTGATGATATCGAAGAAAAATATGAAAGTAAATCATCAAGTGATGCTCGATAATCTTGACCAATCATTAATAATGCTGACTCAATTCGTGGAAGTGTTGTTAATTCAATAAGTATATTAAAACAAAATTTTATATATGAAAATTGTAATATAGAAGATTTATGTACTTGTTGATAACGTTTTTCAGCATCAACCATTATTCGACAAGCATTAATAATTACTTCAACTAATTTTGATGATGCTGAATTAGCTATTTTAAATAAACCTTTTGTTGGTAAACGAAGAACAAGAGAACATTGACTTTTAATATCATTAAGTTTTAATGAATTTAATTGTTGTCCAAATAGATATGATGTATTTATTGATGATGAAGTTATTTTTTGTGTACGAATTTGTTCAAGTTCTTCATATGAAAGATTATTTTCTTCAATAATTATTGGTGATTTTGAATTTCCCATATCAGATGATGACGATACTGATGGTACTGATTTAGATGTTGTCGTATTTATTGGATTGGTTCGAAGTCGTCTCATTTTTCTTGGTATTTGTTCATGTCGAGATGTATAATATTCAGCAAGAACAGTTTGATTATTTGGTTGTAATTTAATTAAATTTTTCAATGTTATTTCATATAATTGATTATTACGAGACATTTTATATGCACATGCTTTACGATATAATGCACGTGCATTATCTGGATCTATTTCAAGTGCTTTGTCACAATCATCAATTGTTTTTTGTGGCTAAAAGAAAGTTGGAGTTTTTTTTTTTCATTATTACAAATACGATCGAATAAAATCGTTAATCGATGATCCTTCTTAGATCTTACTTTCAATAGAATAGAAAGATAGAACATAATGAAAACTAAAAGCGTAGATCCACGTATTTTTTTAATGCTCTAGAAAATGATATGTCGATCATGATCATCGAGCTACATCGATAGGAAAATTTCATGTCCTATCTTTCTATTTGTATTGAAAGTAAGATCAAAGGAGAGATGGTCGATTTACGATCTTATTCGATTATGTTCTTTATTATAATTAGAATTTTTACCTCGAATACTTTTAAATAACACGCAGCTCGATTTGAATATAAAGATGCAACATCTGGTTTAAGTTCAATACAATATGTATAACATCGAATAGCAAGAATAAAACAAGCATCAAGATAAAGTTGATTACCACGTTCTCGATACCAATCATATTGATTTTTAGTTGAAAAATCATCTTTAGTTTTTATATATGTTAAATAACGTTCATCATCATTATTATCTTTTGGTAATTTTTCACGCCATGTTTCACCTTCTGTTTTATTCAATTCAATAGCCAATCTAAATAGAAGAACTCATTCTAATAATATTTCTGTATCATATTTTTAATACTTACTTTTCACATGCACGTTGTGCTAACGTATAACTAAAATCAGTAGATGGTATACGTGCATAATCCGCATAACTAAAAATAAGACTACAAAAAAAAAAATACCAAAAACATGTAAATCAATTTTCTATTAGTAAAAAATCGAAACATACAATTTTTCATTTTCAAATGCTCGAGCTCGACAAATCACTGCATCTGTATCCGTTTTATTGTATTGTAAAGCTTCGCTTGCATATTGTATAGCATGTACATAATGATTAGCTTTTAAATAACAATTAGCACAAATAATTAATGTACTAGCAATATGATCTGCATGATTATGATAATCTGAAAATAAAAATAAAATAAAATAAATATTTATAATTATTATTATATCAATAATCTAACCGAGTACTCCATTTTTAAGCATTTTTTTTGCTGCTTCAATAGTATTTTTCAAATCATTTGATCCATTATATTTTTGAATATCACGTTGAAGACTATTAAGTATCGAAGGTCGAGAAGATTTTGACCATGGTTTATCATAAAATGTTGATGAACGATTATTTGATTGTAATTTTATTGAATCACGTAACCAATTTTGTATAGTCGAACTAAAATTTGAATTTGATATTTGATCATTATAAGAATTAATTATTGTTGTTGATCGTTGTTGAGTTGATGTAGCATGAAAATGTTCATTAGTTTCAAATGAATTTGAAGATATCTAATAAAAATATTATTCAATCAAATAAATAATTAAAATATTCTTTGTGAAGAAAAATATTTAGGTCTAATATTTTCAACATATTTATTCCTAAAAAATAATATTCTTACAGAAGTAGTTATATAATTATTATAATAACGCTTGAAATTCACTTTCATGCTTTATTTTTGTTAATTTTGACTTTCAATTATTTGATAATACATATTTTGAATATTGTCAATGTACTTGCATTCTAACTTCTTTGTCCTCAACTATTCCACGTCACTCATTAAGAAGCTTACGATTGGTTATCTAGTAATCAAATAAGATGTATAAATAATTACACATTTATCAACCCTCATTTTGATTTCATTCAGTGTTTTTTTTGCCTTGAATGAAGCATTGTGCACATTGATATTATTCGAACTTACGACAACACTCAACCTACGAATATGATACACTAGCTGAAGTACCTGGCATTGCTCGAGAAAGTTTAACCTTAATATATGCATGAAAAATACGCATTGGGCTCGACAACATGTGGAAAATCCTGACCAGTGGAGAGCCCCGCTGGGAAATCTGTTCGTAGACAGCCTAAGAAAATAAATACCCTTTGATTGAAACAAAGCACAACAACAAATCTAATTGGTCTAGAACCTCACTTTCATAATCTCTGTTGATCGAGTGAATTAGGACGGTAAATCGTACTTTGTACCGCTCGAACCAGGCTGAATTCTGATTTGTTGCAAAGACAGACAGTTTTTGTGCGACAGAGACCTTTTTCAGCAACGTAAGAAGTCTATTTCTTTGAGCTAATGATTGACGCACAGACTTTTGAACCTGACAAACTGTTTATTCGAAATCTCGGTCTCAGAAGACCTCTCGGAAAACAGTTTCCTCAAAACTTGATTTGTACTTGACACGGGTCGCCTATTAGGATCACCGCCGGCCCAATAGATTTTCGAGAACAATAGACTTAAGATTCCCAATGCCATTTTCCCGACCCTTCGGTGAGGTTTCTTTTCCCAAAAATTCGACTTCTAGTGATTCGCTCTCAGAAAACTCGATTCCTGTTGATTTCCGGCTAACCCGAAGAATTTTGAGGCGAATGGACATCAGATTCGAACTCACAATGTGTAGAAACCGTTAGAGGACTGTTTCCGCGAAAATCCAATTTAGATTACCTGGTTTCCTAGCAGCTTAATTCCTATTGGTTCCAAGTCAACTAATAGGATTTCGAGGTGAATTGATCTTGGATTCGAACTCGCCGCCTCTGAAAACTCCTACCGGCCTGTTTTCGTGCAAACGCAATTTTCATTAGGTGGTTTCTGAGCGGCTGAATTGCTATTGATTTTCAGCCAACAAATAGGATTCCAGGCAAATGGACCCCAGATTCCAACTCATCGCCCTCGAAAACCTATGGTGACTTGTCTTCTGTTTGTTCACGGAGTGCTCTTAAGTAGTTCTTCTATACTACCGTATGCTGCAATCTCATTGGTCAGATACATAGTCTGGCCTTTTGCAGACGGAGGATCGATTTTTTTCGGTAAAAAGTAGTCGTTGACCTTCCCCTAGACGTAAGGGTATTCCACGCAAAGTTTGGTTGCACTGGCTCTTACAGAGATCAAATACGTAAAGAACAAACAAACAAACTTTCTTCTTTATATATTAGACTAGCGGAGATACCCGATGGTAGTCATGATAATTTTATAATATATACTTGACATATTAGAAAAAGACGTCACTATGATGTCCTATCAATTATTGGAATTCGATATCGCAAAATATGTTCAGATCACTTTCCCTTTTCAACTGATGTTTTCCCCATTTTTAATTAAAAAAAAAATTCTATCCTTTTCAGTGTTCTTTTTGTTTGATCGACTTCTTTTATTACAAAAGACCGTTTACAGAAATACAACTTCGATTGCAACGCTTTTTGATACAGAACCTTCTCGATTTTCGCAACAGGGGCCAAAATAAACAAACTCTTTCCAGTTCCAACTCCTCAGCATGCTACGTTAAGTTGGCCATGAAAAAGGCAAGGGCTCTCTAGATTAATGCCAACCACCTTAAGTAATTACTCTTGAGCCTTGTCGATAGACATCTCGAAGGAAAGACATGCAGCAAATTGAAGACGCTTGAATTCAAACGGTATATCTGTAAGAACCATGAATATTCATGGTACGAATACATGCTCACTCTCTGGGCAGCCTGTCAACATTATTTTTCTTATCGTACATTAGAGATAGAGATTAGAGAATTTCCAATTTTCACAACCTGGGTGACATTACATTCGATTACCTTCCTTTCCTTGCCTGTCGCGCCAATCTACTCTCAATTTTTCTCTCCACTAAAGAGTATATCATGGAAATTTTGATGACGCTAGTTATTACGGAAATCAAATGTACAAACAGCAGACAGACAAACATTGTTATTTATAAAAACAGAAGAAGACACTCGCTTCCATACCCTATACCCACATTCAGTGCTTAGATCCTTGAATCGAACTCATTGCCTCTAAAGTCCCTACCTGACTTTTCTCCTAACGACCAAAGATTGATTAGCTAGGTTTCTTAGTAGCCCAATTCCTATTGGTTTCCAAACAACTCATTAGATTTCAAGACAAATAGACCTCACATTCGAACTCACCATTTCGAAAAACCCCCTGATCCATCAATTCCTTCAAAGTATAAGTGTTCTGGTCTATTTTCTTAAGTACTGAAGTCCTATTAGTTTCCAAACAACCACTCAGGTTTCGAGGCAAATGGACCTCAGAGTTGAGCTCACAATCTCTACATCCCCGTGCCCCATCATTTTCTTGGAGGTATAAGAGTTTTGGCCCGTTTTCTCAAGAGCTAAATTCCTATTGGTTTTCGGCCAACCAATCAGATTTAGAGCCAAATGGACCCCAGATTCGAACTCACCTTCCTCAAAAACCCTGCGCCTCATGATTTCCTTTCAAGTATGAAAATTTGGGTCTGTTTTCCTAAGAGCTGAATTCCTATTGGTTTCCAAACAACCAATCAGATTTCGAGGCGAATGGGCTTCAGATTCGAACTCATCGCCTCAAAAAACCCTGTGCCCCATCATTTCTTTCAAAGTATATGTGTTTGGCTCTATTTTCTTAAGAGCTGAATTCCTATTGGTTTCCAAACAACCAATCAGATTTTAAGGCGAATGGGCCTCAGATTCGAACTCATCGCCTCAAAAAACCCTGTGTCCCATCATTTCCTTCAAAGTATATGTGTTTGGCTCTATTTTTTTAAGAGCTGAATTCCTATTGGTTTCCAAACAACCAATTAGATTTGGAGGGAAATCTATCCCAGATTCGAACTCGGCGCCCTCGAAAACCTCTAGTTCCATGTTTCCTGTGTGTTCATGAAGTGGAACTCAGTTATAGTTCTATAGTACCGAATGTTGCAACCCTATTGGTCGGTTTCATAGATCGCCTGTAGCATGTGTAGGATTCGTTTTTTTTTCGGAAAAAAATACATGTCGACCTTCTCCTAGGTGTAAAGACCATTTCTGGAAAGTTTCATAGCATTTGCTCGTACCGTGTCCAAATGCATGAAGAACAAACAAACACACAAACACACAAACACACAAACAGACATTCTTCTTTATATATATAGATGAGTATGACAATACTTGAAATATTAATTGAAAGTCAAATTTTAGAATAAATTTGAAAGATAGAATGAAAAAGGAACAGGAATCAAACGATGAAATTATCTTTATGTTATCAAAATCTATGATTAGTTTTGTAAGAATATTAATTTATAGCAGTGATTAATAAAAATATTACTTGTAACCATAGTTTTTCAAAGAGGATAGATCAATAACTTACTGAAGTATGTTCATATGATGAATATTTGCTGGATACTGTTGTTATATTATTATTATCATATAAATCAGTATGATCAATATTTGATATAGTTGAAAATTGTTCTCGATTGTTATTATCATTCATTGTATATACAATATTTTCATCAATTGTACTCCTAATTATTGTTTGTTTTGTTGGTGTTAATGGTGGTGTACGTAATGGTTTATGCTCGATTAATGCTGGTACATCATTATCATCATCGTCCATTGTTGGTGAAACATTTAAACTAGGTGAAATATGACCATCATCATCACTCATATTTCCTGTAAAATCAGCACTAGCTTCATCACCAAGTGCCATATCATCATCATCATCGTTAAGACCAGCTCCAGCATTTAGAGATGATATTTGAGAATGAATATTTTGTTGATATTGATTTATATCATCACAATGTTGAAAATGATTATCAGACATAGCTGGAGAAGCATCTTCAGGATCTATGCATGGGCGTGAATGCATATTTGATCTTAAAATAAAAAGAAAATATTTAAAAATAAAAGAAAACTTTTTTAAAATTTATTTGATTACCTTTGAGGAATATCAATATTCATCGATTGAATTGATTCATTGGTAGTTATCTTTGATTCTTGTACTTGCTGTTGTTGTTGTTGTTCTTCTTCTTCTTCTTCTTGTTCATCTTCTTCTTGTTCATCTTCTTCTTGTTCATCTTCTTCCTCGACTTCCAAGATTGGAATTTTAACTGGTGTTGGCTAAAAAAGTTTTTTTTTTTTTTTATTAAATACAATTGAATAAAATTATTTAACTTACAATTGATGGTTGACTATTAACTTCTTCTTCATCATCATCATCATCATCATCATCATCATCTTCAGTAATAGGTATTCGAACACCTTTTGTCTTTTGAACTGTTGGAATTGTTTTCAATAGTTCCTAAAAGTACACAAATTTTTATTTTTATTAGTTTGTTCTAATCGATTTGATCAATAATTTTAGATCAGTAAAAGAGATTCGTTTTAGTAATGATTAATATTTATAAATGTTCGCTCGATTTTGTCAATGTATTTGTTATTCTTCATAGACAAAAAAAGAATTTTTACTTTTGCTTCCTTATTTTCTTGATCGACAGTGAAAAGAACGTCAAGATCATGTTTAGCTTCATCATATTGTTGTTTAGCAATTAAACATGATGCTCGACGAAACAATGCTATAAAATAAAATATATAAGTTTTTTAAATAGAAAAATTTTTATGGTTTTAAAAAAAAAAAAACCTTTAATATGATGTGGATTAGTTGATAATATTTGAGAACAATCCTTAATCGATGCATCATAATTACTCAGTTTATAATCTAGAGAGAATACGAAAAGAATTGATAACTAATGAAAACTATAGATTGATTACTAACAGGCTATCGCTCGATTCATATAAGCCATTGGATTTGTATTATCAAGCATAATACTTTTTGTATATAAATCAATTGATTGTTGATAATTATTAGATTTAAACGCAGTATTTCCATTTAGACGATGTTGTTCAGCCATTTGAAGACGTTGACTTTTCTCATGAATTGGATTCGAAGGGTGAGATTTATTTGCTAATTATGAAAAAGAAAGAAAAGAAAAGAAAACAATATATTAAACATGATCGTGAATTTGTTGTGGTCAAAATTGAAATTTCTTTCTGAATGAACAGAAAAAGGCAAATAAAGACAAATAATAAAAGTAGCAACTAGTTTTTGTTTTATTTCACAAAATTTATCAACAGAATATATATGAGATGTGGATGGAATGGAGACTTCGCTCTTGTTCACATTCACCTCCAAAACGAGACATCCACACTTGAATAGGTATACAAAAAACAAAGTCTTGGACTTATGTCTAGATTTAGTCTTAAATGACTAAAATCTTAAAGGATTTGGTAAGATAAGGTAACATTAATATCCTTCTACTCTACTGGAGATGCACCACAATCAGGACAAGATTTTTGGATTTAGGACCAATATCTTTACTAACTGAATTTTGATTTAGTCTTGAATAAAAAATAATAGAAATAGTTTGTTTTGATAACGATTTAAACCTATTCTAGATTTGTTTCATCCCTGCTCCACATCCACACTTTTCGTCATCATGATTTTACTTTTTCTCTCTTCATTGAAAAAAACAAAGAAACTTCGGTTTTGTTTAATTAAAACTAAAATTTCAATTTTGACCACAGTATATATATATATATCAAGAAACGAACTTGTCTTTTCATCTTTATTATTGTTATCATTCTCATCCTCATCATCCTCATCATCTACTTCATCATCTTCATTATCACTATTCAATTCTTTATCAAGTTGCTGGTCTAGTCTAAAATAATATTTAAAGTATAAATTCATTTAGAAAAATTCGTGTCTATTAAAAGAGACTTACTTTCCCCATTCATCATAACTTCTCGGTACTATTCGTTTCTGTTTACCATTACTGTTTATCACAGGTGCCGATGTCGTTGGAGTAATTGTTTTACTCTTTGAATAAAAAAAAGAAAGACAAATCATGATTAAATATGAATAATCAATAAAAATCTTATAAATTGATAACTTACAATTATAGATTTGGAACGGATTGGTACTGAATCAAAACCATTATTCTGATGATCTTTAGCAATAATAGACGATGTTCTCTTTTTTTCTAGCATTTGCTTAAGAAAATCATCCATTTGTTTACGTTCATCATCGGGTAAAGCTGATTTATCTAGTGGAGCTTTATCTTTTCGAAGGATTTGACTGGAAAATAATGATTTATTTCTTTTTTCTTTCGAAAGAAAATAAACAATAGAAAAAATTGTACCTGTTCGGTTTTATATCTTTGATTCGATCAAGTGTTAATTGTTCTAAAGCAGGAAATGAACCTATTTCACCACCTCTATAAGTTTTTAAAAAATAATTTTCAACATGAAAAAAAGAAAAGACATTTAAATTTATGTATGATTTTACGTTAATTCTTTGTATATACGTTCAAGTTCTTTTCCATCTGTACAATTTTGTATATATTTATGTTCAAAATGACTCAATGGTATATTATATTTTTTTGTATGGCCTGCTAAAGCGGCTGTTGCATCATCCATCTAGAAAGATTTTGTGGCAGATTTTATATATTTAATATAAAAATATTATTTTTTTTCTTTTTGGTTTTAGTACAATTGAGAACATTCTGTTTTCTAACTATAGATCAAAATGTAAGTAAATAAATGAATAATCAAAGATCCTTGATTTCTTTTCAAGTGTTTATTATTATCCCATATACATAAATTCAAGAGAATAGATACGTTTATGACGCTTATCTTGTTTGTTCTCTATCTATTATAAAGGCCAAACTGTATTATTTGCTGATTTGAAATGTACTGACACATAGTTATACCGAATAGAAGAAAAGAAAAAAGAATGTAATCGAATGGTTCGATTGTCGGAAGATATAAAATGATATTGAGGGTCTATACATATGGATAGAATGAATAAATACTAGGCACAAATAGATATTTGTTAGTCAGTCGAGTTAGCCTTCACCATAACGCATCTACAAGTACTTATAAGTTACGTTTGTTTAAAAAATGGCAGCTAGTTATTTTACAATTTTCTTATATTTTACATTTATTTTAACTACCTTTGCTGCTTCATTACAAGCACCATTTAAACAATGTTCACGTATGTATAAACATTCATGGATCTATTTTTTTTTTCAACTAATTATTATTTTTGATAATTTTAGCACCCAGTTCTGGTGATGTTATTAAAGTTTCTGTAAATGCTCCTTGCACAGAAGAATATTGTACGTTTTATAAGGATACTGATGCTCGGCTAGAATTTACATTTAATTTAAGTAAGAATTTAAAAAAAAAACTAAAAACGAACAAAATTTCTGTTTTTTTTTCTTTTCTTAAAAGAGAAAAAAGCACATAAAGTTCGAGCTAAAGTAGTAGCAACAATTGGTACGATCGATCATGATTTTGCTTTACCTAATTCGGATGTTTGTGAACAACTCGGCTGTCCAATTAAAAATGGTGTTCAATACACATACTATAATAGTATGTTTGTTAGTCCAACTTATCCATCAGTATGTATAATCAAATTTTTTTTTCTTATATGATTTCTATTTATTTTATATATATATATATGTATGATTTTATAGGTAAAAGTCAATCAAATGCGTTACTATTTAATCGATGGTAAAGGCCGTGAGCTTGTTTGTATCTCACTACCAGTCATGATTACTGAAAACGTTTCGAAACAATGAATGGCAACGATCGATCGATTCATACATTGTTTGTCAAACAAAGAATAAACATTATACTCAAACTACTCGTACAAGCTTATACATGTTTTGCTTTCTATTCTATTCTTCTTCTTTTTTTTTTAATTTCAACAGCACTTTTCTTTTTTTCTACATGTTTTTTTTTTCTGTGTTTGTTTTTTAAACTGCAATAAAATGCAATAAAAGAAAGAAGTCAAACTTATTTAAACGAAGAAACTGAACAACACAAGAGGTTCGAGACTGAAAAAGAGAAAAACAGGAAAACTATCAAAAGAAAAACAAGAATGCCATTGAATATGGAACGTGTACTTTCTTTGGAAAACGATCAAACATGTAAGAATATTTTCCTTTCTATTTATCTCTATTTGATGGATAACAGAAAAATAAGAATAAGTTATGTATGAAAACAACAAAAAAAACAAAGAATTTTTCTTTTAATTTCTAAGATTCAGCAACCGAATATCGCGAACGTTTTATGTCACCACGTCGAGAAGATTATAACCCTCATGTATCTTTACCAAAAATTGATTCTATACGATCATCATTAACTCGTTCGTGTCTCTCTTTGAACACTGAACCGGATACAACATTGTCTTCATCTGAATATCGTCTTTGCTTTGCAAATCATCATCCAAAACGGCCATATGTCTTTCATGCACAACCAAGCCATGTTTTTGATTATGTTCCAATGCCAATTAATAATAGATCTACATCACGTTTATCAGCAAATCATTCTGTTTTAAAAGATACTGAATATCAAGAACGATATGCAAATTATCCTTCATTTATTCCAGTACATGCACTTATGCCACCACATCTTCCCAGTAAACCTAATACACTATCGGATACACAACAAAAACGAGAACGTATGGCACGTAGTCAATATTTTCATCAACTTGTTGTAGATAGTGATAAATTAAATGGTGGACAACGATCATTTGGTACAAGTGAACAACGTACTGCATTTCAATGGCCTCGTCGTTTCTCTCAGAGTCAACAAAAAAAAATTCAACAACAAGTATCAACACCGGCCTATCCACCGTATTATACACCCAGAGATATTTATGAACCTCTACCAACAATACAACGAACAATAGTCAATGGTTTCAATTGAATTTCCATGATCGATTTTAAACAAACAAAGACTAACAGGCGAAGTGATTAGATTCAAGTTTCTTATATTAGATAATTCTTTTAGAAATTTATCCAACTAAATAAATATCTAAACAACAAGCCATGTCGATCATAGTAACCAGATTCTAATATCTGGGAAAGAAAAGGACTGATTTAGTTCGCATGATTAATCCCACCAACATTATTTTATTTTTTTGATTTTCGTAAAAACAAAATAACGACTTTCTCCCATAAAAACACATAACTGACTAAAATAACATAATTTTCAAATAAGAATATCTTGAATAACATATTTAACATTTTCTTATATATTCTCACGTTCACTTCAACAGACAAAAAAAACATATCATCACTATGTTTATATTAGACAAAGGTATTCAGTATCGAAAAAGAAATGCAGAAGCAATTTAAAATGTATGTTATAAGGTCTCTAAATATGGCAGAGAAAATGTTGTACCTTGTCAACATCATTACTTTTATTATTTTGAAAGAAAAAAAGAAGAATGTTGTCAAGTTTGTCAAATTCTTCATAAACACTTTAATTTGCCTTCTTTTACGTACAAAAAAAACAAGATATATTCTACCACGAAAACAACGCCAATTATTGTATTATGATATAGTTAGACTAAACTTAATCAACTAATGAAAGAATTATTGAAAGTAATTCATCACTTTTGAGTTTATATTTTTGTCATGCAAATAGAAGATCTCGAAATTAGAATAAACTCAAACAGATGTGACTCAAAGGAAAAATTCCGTATTTCAAGACTACCATGAATGGATGTCACAAACATACTAATATGAGTTCAATTTTTATAATCATAACGAACGTTGCTAGTAGATTTGAAATAGCGAAAACGTTCCTGAGAATAACTATGACATATTAATGGAGCATAGTGAATTACAGAATTTTCCCCTTTTTTTCCTCTTAATTTGAGTCCATAAGTTTTCTATGTAGAGTTATGAGACTTTCTCTGGAATTAATCATAGGGCCTAAGACAAATAATGGAACTTGTGACTTAAAATTGTCTGAATAAGAAGGTCTCCTTTCGTTTGAGAATAGTCTTTCTAAGGTTCAGTCAACACGATTGATTTCTTTTCGGAATATTCAAAGCTCAAGAAGCGATTTGATATGACAAAAAGTCACAATCGAAAGTTTTTCAACAGAAAATATCTCAAGAAGGAAGCAACCATGCTGACTGAAACTTTTAAAATATTCTTAAAATAAACCAAACCTGCTTATAGACGAAATGTCAAGTCAAAAATTCTATTATCATGTGTCTTATATTCTATGATCAAATTCAACAAAATTCTCCTAACTCTGTAGAAAAGATTTATGGACTCATATTCATCCGACTATATTCTAGTCTCAAAGTGTCTTCTATCTGCGTACTGAAAAACAAAAATGATGAATCATTGTGATCAGCGTCCTCGTAAGTGTCGTCTTTTAAACAAAAACTATTTGCGTCGATATAAAAGAAAAATTAATTCTTATTCATGATACAAGAAATTTTTTTACTTAACTGATCGATCCAAGAAGAGAGAGAAAGATTGATTTTGATCGACTTTGAACAATATCAAACATTTTCGATACATAACATCATTACCTGTACTTAACAATAATTTGATTAACATACTTTTACATCTATTCTAATCGTATAAAGATGTTGACTTATCACATGTATGTTTTAAATCAGTTCCGATTTCAATATAGAATAACCGAAGTAGAACATACAGATAAATATCAACCAAGATGATAACATTGATTGATACACAAACAATTATATCCAAGATTTAAATATGAAATAATCACATTCGAAAAAACTTCTTAATGATCATCATATTTAGATCGATGGATTTCAACGAAATATGAACTATCTAAAAACAAACCAAATATTTCATAAAGTTAACATTTCAATAGTAAATAAAACGTTAGTTTTTTTTTTTGATTTCAACATAGAACATGAATAGGTTTTTTTTTGACACAAAGAAAAGAATTTCGTGTTAAATTATTAGTGAAGTAAACTTTTGCATGAAAAGTTGAATGCACTTTCAAAAGTTGGAATGATTTATGACTCTGGAAAGTGAAATCTTCTAAAGAGGTAGAATAATAACAGAATTCTTTCTTGATTTAATTTTTGAACCTACGACAAACTCTTATACACATCAGACATGTTTTGTCATAATGGCACAGAAAAAAAAACGGAAACAAAAAAAACAAAACGAAAAGAACATCAACATGCATACATATATATAACCAACCACCAGCAGTATAGAGTTGAAAGAACAATACATTTTTGAAACATCATACCAAAATGAATATTTATGTACAAATGCAAGAAAAAACAAAAGAAAAACAACATATAACACACACAAACACACTGATCTATTGATCAAAATTTTACAGTTTCTGTCTTTTTTTTGTTTATATGCCATCGTTGTACGATAAAAAAAAAACTATTGATATTCATTATCAAGTAGCATTTTTATCTACATTCATGTTTTGATCATTAGTAGAATCTGTCATTGTTTTCATTTGTTTTGAACGTCTGTTACCTGATCGATTAGTATCCTCAGTAACATCATTACGTTTACTTGACTGTGATGGATCTGTTGTTATTGAGTTTGCAGTTGCTCCTGTTGTTGTTGTTGTCGTTGTCGTTTGTAATCTTGTCTTTCCTC